AATCTTACTAAATCCCAGAATCCCAAAATCCCAAGAAATCTCTAAAAATTTCATAAAATACTTGGAAAAAGCCCAATAAAATCCTCAAAACTATTGCAATATTGAGAAATCCCATTTAAACATTTAAATCGTGAATTGGCGTGAGAATGTCCTTTGTTGATTTACTTCGTTTTAAAAATAATTCGACGGATTATATGTCGCAAAAAATGTCGGAAAAAGTTCGGCGAAAAAAATAAGCGAAAATATTTCGAACAAGAAAATATTTCTTTAAAAAAGAAATAATGTTTCGTTCCAATATAATTATAGAAATACCAGACGTCTATAATTAGCGGTTGTGACCATAGATCACTTTTATATGTCGAGCAATGAAATTGAAATTCATTTTGTGAGGCGGGCGGGTTCTATAAATTTTCATTATACCTGGAGGGGCCGGGCGGTCCAGAAATACAGTAGTAGTATTTAAAATGAAGAAAAACAAAGAAAACTATATAATAAATATATATATATATATACCGCTGTTGGCGCTTGAATACTTCATTTGAAGTATTCAAGCGCCAACAGCGGTATATATATATTTATTATATAGTTTTCTTTGTTTTTATAAATCATCGTGCCTGTAGATTTTGACCTGAAGTTCAGGCCCTAAGATTTTGATTGGTTGCAAGTTCACATAAACAACAGTTTTAAAAATAGCTCGGTCAAGGGCTCAAGGGGACAATTATAATAATATAAGGGTCAAACGCACGTAACAAATCCATTATCGATTTCTTCGAATTTCTTTTCTTTTAATATGCTTTATGGCAGAAAATAAATCAAACAAATAGTATTTTGAAGGTCTTTATCAAAATCTTTGACGAATTTTGGACACACGACGCCGAAAGAACAGCCAAACTAGTCATCTATTCGAAAGTTTGTTGTTGACAGCCAAGATGTTCTGCCAACTGGCTTCGCCGGCAAAAGTCTTATTTTTAATATCAGGTCCTACCGGCGTTGTTTTCTGAGCTACATCGCCTTCTTCGTGGTACGAGTGAGAATTTTATTGTTGCTGTTGTTAGCCCGTTAAAGTATATCCCTGGTACGTATATATATATATATATATATATATATATATATATATATATATATATATATATATATATATATATATATATATATATATATATATATATATATCCGCGTCCGGCAAGTTGAGACCTTGAGAAAGCTTGGCAGTCAAGCTGTACACAGAACTGACTAATTGAATCTTCGTTTGCTGTTCGGTTAAATAGAGAAACTGACTCTTAATTATATAAAAGTACCTTGAATTTTTAAGTTTAATTAAAAAGCAAAATGCACACTCTGCGGACATGTTCATGAGAATATAATTTTTTTGTGTAACGAAATCTATAACACTTGTCAATCATATTGCATGCTGTGTCTAAAAATAACATGTGAGGCTTGTGAGCGTCCCAAGGTCTAGACAGGTTTTGTGTCAGGCCCTATTTAAAATTAGGGCCTGAACTTCAGGTTAAGTTAGCATGTTCTCATAGGTTGATATATAATTAACTAAGATTTCCGATTATACGCCACGCCTCCGAAAAACTTCTTATGCTAGGAGCGGTCATCTCATTGGACGATTCTAAATGTAATTGACGTTTGAGCGAGAATACTGGCAAAGGATTGGATAACTTTGATCTCTGACGTCACTTTCCTGTGATAATTGCTCGAAACCAAATACAGTACCGTTTCGTTCCTGTGGGGAACGAAACAAAAAATCAGCTGAAAAAAATCCCAAAAAAATCCCAAAAAAATCCCAGAATCCCGAGAAAAAAATCCCAGAATCCCGAGAAAAATTGCCGGGATTTTCTAATCCCAAAAATCCTCGTACGCTTTTTTCAGAGTAATTTACCCCTCGACAAAATATATATACATGTCTTTGTTGTCACTAAATATATTTGTACTTTTTAAATTTATTATTTTGTTAAACTGGAAGGCAACCTTTATAATAAAACTTTCTGTAGAGTGAATCCACTTTTACAATGCAGTATAATGCAGTTGAGTTTTGAATTAGAAAAACTTACAAAATTGATTTAAAATGTGCTGTGTATTTATTATTCAATGGGTCGTTCCAGAAAAGATCCATACCCCCCCTACGGAGGAAATTGAAAATAACCCCCTCCCCCCCTTCGGACATCCTTGAATGGTTCATCCTCCCCCCCTCTCCGGACATCAAAGCCCAAAATTATCCCCCTCCCCTTCGGACATCCACTATTTCTAAATTTTTCTAAAGGCTAGCTTGCCGTTTGAAAACGTCACCGAAAATTCGACTACGTTCACACTACGCGCAAGCGAACTAATGCGGGTAGAATTTACGTGTGTTCAGACTAAGCCATTACAGTTTGTTTACAAATTGAATTAGCACTTGTGTAAACCCAAAATATTTCAAATAGACCCAAGAAATTTAACTGAAAAGCATTCGAGTTTACACGTTTGTGTTCACACGAAGCTATCAAACGCTCCGCCGTTTCACCTCGCTCCAGGGCGAAGGGAGAGAGGGCGTAGAAACGGCCATACATCGAGCGGACCCATCCGTGATGCGGACTTCGCGGGGGGTAAGACGTTCCAATTGTAAACAAATATGGCTACGCGTACATGACCCATCAGAAGGTATGCTGAAACTATTGCTTTATAAAATATTACTTGTGTAAAATTTATATGTTTTTGTTACTTTCAGCTATTATAAGAAACTTAATGATAAGATTTAAGTAACAAAAAACGTTATTTCGGGTGTTATTTTATTTATATACTCTGTTTAATTTGGTGGTTAAAAATGGCCGTCGAAATGTTGTCCGAGAGTGTTAGCGCGCACTGCTTCCTGATAAAAAACCAATGATTTCCAAAACCTAAATTATAATTTGTTATTAAGTTATGATGAAAACCTTTGCGTATACAAAATTATAGAGTGAGCAAACATGAGACAGATAGGTTTTGAACCTTTCCAAGTTCGAGGTCGAATTGACAGTTGAAATAGTACCAAACTCCAAGCTGAAATGTGCAACTAAATCGTGTATATTTTTGTCAATTTTGTTCGCTGGCTTTGTTAAATTCACTTGCAATGGCTCGACATAAGTTACAACATACAAAGTGAACAGAGCCCATGAAAGAGCTATCCATAGTCCATACCCATACAGTCATTCAGCTTCCTTGCTATTTAGAAATTGTTGCCCATTATTTGAAGAAGAATTGCTATTGTATGCGCTTGTTTGCACTTCCTTTTCTGAAAAAAGTCTACAATATTAAGGCTAAATAGCAGAAAAATATGACCCAATAATCCATGCAATTAAAAATATCTATCAAATTAACTTCAAAAATCATGATTTGAGGAATTATATCTATTCAGGCAACCCATAATTTAGTGACAGGTCTTGGCAAGGTGAAAACTGAAAGGAACCCTTAAGATGGGTGTACTACAAAACTACAGTATATTGACTGAAGTTTTGGAAACATTTAACTAAATTTTGAAGGATTGACTTGCAAACTGTGATTCAGTATCATGGAATTTTACACTTCTGGAGAAGCTGTGGCTCTGTTAGTGCCATTTCTTTCATTGTTTATATATCTTGCTTTTAAGCATTGCTCGCTTATAAAATCTTTCAATTCCTTAGGGCCTGTTTATATGATCCCGCCTAGATGGGACGGGACGTTTTCATCCTGCCAAGACAGGATACTCGCCTAGTGTTTATATGGACAAAATACATTGCCGGGATGAAACCATTCGGTGCTTGGCGTCATATTTTTGTTGCAATAAAGGCATTTACGCATGCCCAAAAGGGAAAAATTCATTCCGCCTAACCGGGATGAAGTGTTTATATGGGAATTTTTCATCCCGGCTAGGCGGGATGAAGTGTTTTTATATGGGAATTTTTCATCTCGCTTAGGCAGGATCCCGGCATCTGTTGCCGAAATCCAGTCTAGGTGGGATAAGTGGCGGGATCATATAAACACTCTTTAGCATTTGTATAATTTACGAGCAGGATCTCGGTAAGCATCCCGTCCCGACTGGCCGGGATCATATAAACAGGCCCCTAATCTCATCCCATGATACTGAATCACATTTTGTAAGGCCTCTTTTACATGAGACCAGGATGAAACCAACCTGGAAAATTGAAATTGCATGTCAACATGTTTACATGAGACCAGTATGAAAATCACAAAATTTTCAATTTATTCCCCTTGCCGGGCAATTTTTAGATGACTTTTGTTAGCATGTGTTGTTCACTTGTTCCAATGTCAACATTCATTCCAGTCTGAATTCATACTGGTCTGAGTCGGCTTGGTCCAGCAGGCGGAATGACTTGAGACCTCATGTAAACATCTACATGTATTATATATAATCTAATGACCAAAACGAAATGGTCCCGGTTAATTGACTTCGTTCCAGTCTCATGTGAACTGGACCTAATAAAATCCTTCAAAACTGAGTTGGCTAAATTTGTCCAAAACTTCAGTCAATATAGTTTTGTAGTGCACCAATCCCAAGATCTGTCACTAAATTATGGGTTGATTATCTGAATAGATATAATTCCCAAATCATGATTTTTGAAGTTAATTTGATAGATATTTTTGATTGCATGGATTATTGGGTCATATTTTTCTGCTATTTAGCCTTAATATTGTAGACTTTTTCAGAAAAGGAAGTGCAAACAAGCGCATACAACAGCAATTCTTCTTCAACTAATGGGCAACAATTTCTAAATAGCAAGGAAGCTAAATGACTGTATGGACTATGGATAGCTCTTTCATGGGCTCTGCTCAGTTTGTATGTTGTAACTTATGTCGAGCCATTGCAAGTGAATTTAACAAAGCCAGCGAACAAAATTGACAAAAATATACACGATTTAGTTGCACATTTCAGCTTGGAGTTTGGTACTATTTCAACTGTCAATTCGACCTCGAACTTTGAAAGGTTCAAAACCTATCTGTCTCATGTTTGCTCACTCTATAATTTTGTATACGCAAAGGTTTTCATCATAACTTAAAAACAAATTATAATTTAGGTTATGGAAATCATTGGGTTTTTATCAGGAAGCAGTGCGCGCTAACACTCTTGGACAACATTTCGACGGCCATTTTTAACCACCAAATTAAACAGAGTATATAAATAAAATAACACCCGAAATAAAGTTTTTTGTTACTTAAATCTTATCTTTAAGTTTCTTATAATAGCTAAAAGTAACAAAAACATATAAATTTTACACAAGTAATATTTTATAAAGCAATAGTTTCAGCATACCTTCTGATGGGTCATATACGCGTAGCCATATTTGTTGACAATTAGAACGTCTTACCCCCCGCGAAGCCCGCATCACGGATGGGTCCGCTCGTTGCATGGCCGTTTCTACGCCCTCTCTCCCTTCGCCCTGGTAGAAACAAAGCTATAAGACTAGGTTTCATCGTCAAAACGCACTTTTGTCTTTTTGTCTAATTAGTGTAGTTTGGGCATAGATTATGAAACATTAAAGGCCGTTTTCCACTTCAAGCGTAACGTAACGTAGCAAAAACTTATTTAAATTTAAAAATTTTGTGAATGTTGATTGGTTAGTACTTCCATAGTACGCCAAAAAGTTGACTTGCGACGAACTTTATACTTTGATACGCGCATACACCCGGAAGTACGTGGATTTATAAACCTCTTTTCAATCTGCGCATGCTCACCTATACGTTACGGTACGATACGGGCGATGTGGAAAACAGTCTTAAGTTCTTTGAAGGCAAATAGTTCATTTACAAAAGCTGTGAAAGTCGTCAAACATCGTAAAAATAAAGTTGTTTCGCGTAAATGTAATTTACTCAAAAGATTTTTGATGCTCTGAACGTCACTAAGGTAATGCCCATGTAAACGTTTTTAAGGTAATGCCCATGCATATAAGGCGCATGATAAATATTAATTTAACTCTTAAAACTATCGCTTTAAGGATTTCGACTAACAATTGGTAAGATCTACCAGGACCATGCATCTTCGCTTTCGATATCCACGTTGACCTCTCCCTGGATGAAAGTTCCTTCGGATAGAGTTCGCGGCGTGTGTATGACGTTTATCTACCGCTTGTCGGGGAAAGATGCACAACTTAACATTTCGGTTGAACCAAGAAACATGAATCAGGAGCAAGTGTGGTTCCTTCCAGATCAACAAAAAGATACATTTTGGAAAACTGGACAAGTTTGTTTGGGGCTTATGACGGAATTTAAGGTAGTAATTAACATTGTAAACCTACTGTATATGTGAAGGTGCAGTAAAATTATAGCCTAATTAGGACCTATAAGGCAAGGAGATGCAAACAAATCACCACAGCTAGAAACAACATGCTAAAATTAGTAAAATCACAAAGTTAGGTTGCGAGATCTTTTAAAATGCGGAAAATAGTTATAGCCTTGCAATATTTCCAAATTTTGTATACGTCTGTATTGCGTGCGGAAATTGCTACCATTTTCGCCCCTTTGCGAGGCTCTATACAGTATTTTCCGCATTTTACAACATTTCGAAACCAAACTTTTTCAATTTCACTAATTTTAAGATGCTCTTTCTGGGAATATACTTTTTACCAAGATAAAAAATAGTCTATAATGGGAATTGTCTAGCTATTTTCATGTTCTCTGCCGTACTTTTCAAAAACCTACAAATCTTTCTAACGGATGGCGGCTAAAAAACTCAAGGATCGCCAATGCCGGTCAGCGCTCTTTCTCAATTCCTATAGTTGCAGTTTAGCATATTAAGGAATGCTATACAAAGTTAATAAAGAAAGATTATGTTTGTGTGATGTTACTCTGAGTATATATCCACACCGGGCAGGCTTAAAAAATATGCTTGGCCACGGTGGGATTTGTCAAGCCTGCCCTATGTAGATATACACTCAGAGTAACATCACACAAACATCTTATTTACCTGAGTACATTACACCAACACAGCAAAAGGAAGACCAGAAAATCCAACAGGAATAGTAGTTCCTTTTTGGATTCAATATTTGAGGAAGCTGCAAGAAGTGACAACTTCATTTAGTTTCTTAAAGCTAACCTAGGTTTATACGCATAAAAAGCGTGATGACATCATAATCAAGAAGAAAACGTGAGCGATAGTGTTAGAATGATTGAAGGGATTATACAAAAACAGACGGTGTCGTGTAAAGTGAAATAGTGTGCTGAGTCCATTTATTTTATTAATCTGGTTTGGGAGATTTAAAAAAAAGTGCGTACCATTATAGTGCGTCGATTATTTTATTAATTTAAAGAGCTTATTTACATAAGTTCAGAATTTTGTGGTTGATAATGACAAGGTCGGTAACATAGGCAGATCGTATAATTATCAGAAAGGGTCTTGTCAGTCAGTTCAGTTGTTTTGTTGAGTAGCAATGTGTCGTGCAGCTTTAAATTGTAACTGCACTGCACACTACGGAGTTAAAGTATCATTTAAATGGGTAAACTTGCTGCAACTTGATATGCTTACGAAATGCCATATTTTTAAACATCCGTGTAAATGTACAGGTTACTGTGGCGTCTTGAGTTTACTTGATTGTTTGGTGACGGCATTCTCACATGTTGTTGCTTACCCCGTTATTATTTGAATTTAGGTTTACGGAAATGTAACTATAGGGCTAAACAAACATTAGCATTTCAAAATTCCTATCAATAGCCTAAGGCATGACTGACCAGGCTCCAATCTAAAATGGAACTCTTGTATCTTCTAGGTTTATATCAAAGCAAGGTTTATTGAAAGCAATGTGAAAATTGACAATATTTTCTTCAGGGAAGAATATTGTGAACCTGTTCCAAAAGAATCTCAAAGTATGTCCAAATAAAGAGTCATTTTTCATTCTTACAGTATTCACCAATTTTGGAAGTCTTTTTATCAAAGAATGTTGCTCGGAATGTTGATTCCCGTGTCCAACAACTAATCTCAACCAAGAAAATTAACGGGAACTTAAACGAAATCTTCACAGATTTTTTACAAAATAATGCATGAAATTGTGGCATAGAAAGTTCTTACTTATGATAAACGATATTTTCATTAATAAGTTTTTTGAATGTTTGCATGGCGATAAAATATAATTGTTTTTGTTTGTGGAAACACCACGTACATTTATTACTACAAAGCTTTCGATCCGTAAGCTCGGATCTTCATCAGTGCTAATAATATGTCATAACATATTATTAACATACTATTAGCACTGATGAAGATCCGGGCTTACGGATCGAAAGCTTTGCAGTAATAAATTTACGTGGTGTTTGCACAAACAAAAACAATTATGATATTTTCATTGCATTGTGGAACCTGGGCCTAAAAATATTGTGCCTATATTGTTGGTAACCGTTAACAAGGGCAAAATTCTTTTCACAACGCCCCCCGTTCACTCTGAAACTAAGCGCAAAGATTGTTGATTTGTTTATAAACTCTGCGAAACCAGTATGAATAAGCAAATTTGCAAAACATAGACATGGCAACCATACAGCCGATACGATACAGGGACTGGCGCGAATGTGTGTAATGACCTAAATTCCCAGAAAACTAAAGGTTACGATTCCAATCTACCCGCTGTAGTCAAGTAACTTTGCAAAACTGGCAGCGTCAATTGATACTATAGGTGTCCCGTACATTAAATAAAAGAATAGTTTTGTCTCTCAGATTATGAAAATTGGTTTATGATAGATAAAATGCCAGTTTTATGATAGAATATGGTTCACCACATTTGTGATTGATCTCGGAAAATTAATTGTACAGAAAAAATGTTAATAAACTTTAAGACAGGTTTCATTATTTCGTAAATTAAAACCTTTACATTTTAATAATGTTACTCCCAAAATTAATGTGATAAATTTGAATTTAGAATCAATTTTAGATGTGCGTTAATAATTCCCCGTGAAAACCCGCCGCAACAGCAGGTTTGGAGGAGTTCGGGTGTAAGTTTTAAACAGACAATCGCATGCGTTTTAAACAGACAATCATTGGATATTGCTTGACTTATTTCTTTATAGACTGGTACACTTACATTTCTAACAGTTCTTCAGGATACATCACTTCACCTTATTATCCTGCATTCTACCTGAACAACATGGAAAGAATTTGGGAAATCGAAGTACACGATGTTCAACGTATTCAACTGGATTGGACATTTCTTAATCTGGAATATCACAAACGCTGTGAAAATGATTCGGTGACTATTTTTGATACGTATACCCACACATCTAAGTTATTTTGTGGTTATGAATTGCCACGTCCATATGTAACCTCGAGCAATAAAGTGATTGTGAAGTTTCAATCGGACAAAAGTAATGTCGGGACAGGTTTCAAACTTCGCTATCAGGCTGTTCAGGGTAAGTTTTGTCAGCGATTTGTTTATAAATAAATGCATGTGTTAGACACATCCCTTGGAATTTTGTCCCCGAGCAAACGGCGCGGAACTCCGTTCCAGGCGTAAGCCCGGGGCGAGGGTACTAATTCCTCCTTGGTATGTACAAACGGGAAAACAAAAGCATTAGCGAAGTCTGAAGTTCATCAATGATCACGGGCGTGGGTGACCAATGATGTTGAGTGGGTGGTCATCACTGATCTCAAAAATATGGCGGACTGTCACGAATAACGAATATGATTGGTCAAATTTAAAATTTGCATTAGAACGATACATGACGACTGCGAAGTAGCAAAGATTTCTTGATTTGATGATTTCTTGCAAATATATTTCATTTTTGCAAGATTTTGAAAATTTCAAAAGCTTTTTAATAAATTAAGAAAATAAATTCGAAAGAATTGGAGGGAGTAAAGGCGTAGACGTTAAAGTAAAAGAGGGAGTAAAGGCGCCGACGTTAACGAAGGTAGGTTTCTTTTAAATATTGATGCATTGTTCGCTTTCTAATTGCTTTTAATAAAAGCTGATCGTTGTGTATATTTTAAATGATAAAGACAGCATAAAATTTCAGTCTGTTTCTTTATTGACTATCCTTTTATATATATTGTATTAAAATTTTTAAATAAAAAAGAAAGCAAGGTTGTTTGAATGCAAGAATTTGAAATAAATTTATTTCAAACTCAAAGTTTTTCGATAATGGCTGTTTTATTAGTTTTGTAAAGAACATTTTAAAACGTCTTGCGAAGCGTTTGGGGTTGAATTTTACTTTACATTGAAGCCTATATTACGTATGAATAATAACATACCTTACATATATATGTTTGGGGAATTGATAATTTTGCAATTACAAGTGATATTTTTAGGGGATTTTTTATTTGTACAAATATTTTTAACAAAATTATGATATCGTGTTAATTACCATGACAACTATAATTTAAATACTTCATGTTCGGAAAATACAATGGGTTTTGTCAGCAAGGCGATGGGTTTCTGCATGTATGTATTCTCTTGTATATTATATATTTTGGGTCGTTCGAATCTAGCTATATGTGTGCTTTAAGTTTCCTTCTGCGATCAGGGTGTGATTCATGTAATATGCAGTTTATAATTATCGCAATTTTGCCTCTATCGTCATGCTTGCTCCAGTAAGCACCAGTAAACAGTATATGAAGCTATAGAAATTCCCAATAAAACACTGGCCTTATGTAAGGAAATATTAAAGGTAATACTGGAGTTGCTCACCAACTAAAAATTAGACCACCACATGCAGGCCTGTAAAGAGAAACTTAGTATTGGTAAACGCATTGGGCCAAGAAAGATTATGTTTAATTTCAAGAGAAACTTATAATATTGCGATTGGTTGTTATAATCATGGAAGGCAAACTTTTTTCGTAAGAGAGTTTGCTACGCGCCTAAACTTTTGTATACTAGCTGCATGGATAGGTGATTACGTGGGATATCCAATCAAATCAATAAAATCAAATACAAATACAAAGCTCAAAAACCTAACAATAACGAACCTTATTTAATCGATCATTCAATCTCAACTTGTTACAAGTTTGCGCAAATTAGCTACGCGTGCACGTCAAAACATGAGGAAGCCACAACAGTGTCCTTGAAGGTGACTTGAAAACAAGTTTCAGTCTTTTACGCGTGGATTATCAAGCTGAACATGATAATTAAGCAACCATTTTTGCATGTTTCATTGCTGAAGAAAGCACGAAATCAAATCTGATCAAATAAAATCAACGTATATGCCTGCTGAATAAAGAAGTGTGGACATGATACAAAACAAGTTAATTTCATATGAAAGGGTAACAAGGTATAATCATAGCTTATTTGTAAACTATATTGTGCGCCTCTGCTCTCTGTGTGCTGTATACGTGTTTTTTTAGAAGCCCAGTATTATATTTTGCAATTTTATGTCAACATAAATTAATAACATTAAATCTTAAGACTTGTGTAATTTAGCTACATCTTGCATGCAATGCTTATAATTTCCTGCTTTTGTATGTATAATTACAATACTGTCAGTGACAAAGCTAACCAAGGCAATCTGTCATGCTATGCAAGGTTTTAATGATTTGCAATATTCAAATATAGGTGCAGGATTATTAGCATATCATCACCAGTTACGTTGGCTACACTGTGCCTTGCCACTGAATAACTGTACAATATCATACATATATAGAAATACTACGTCAGTTTTTGTCGTAGTTATCGTTTTAATGGACCTTCATGGACACCCCTATTGTAGAACAACCGATTAATACTCCATTTGTCGACATATACTATTGATTAACACGTCAGCTTCAGATGACACCACTCATTGTGCAAAACTATATAGCGTAGTTAGGGGCAAAACGAGACGTTTAAGCAGTGTGACTGTCATAAAAAAGCAAGGAAACATATTAAAACACTTTTTTTCACCATTAATATGTTAAACGGATTCTAGTGAACCAACTCAGGGAAAAAACTGTTCTTCAGGTAATATTGTGGCAATTATTCGAGAAAAATGACCGGAAGTAAATGTCTCATTTTGCCCCAATGAACTGCGGCAAAATGAGACAAATGTTAAATATACAGAAATTTTTAAAATTTTGAAAATGTTTTAATAGTAGGATAAAACTAAGGTTAAAAATACATTAGGAAAGTGCATAAAAGTTTATCTAACAGTCCTAGGAAATGTCACATATTACATTTGTTGGTGTCACAGAGCAACAACAATCTTCATGCAACCACTTTTCACACTTGCAACATTGGACCCAATCCTCTCCAGGCAATGACTCAGACCAAAATCCATTACACATGGGACATTGAGAATCTTCCTCAATGTTCATGTTAACATTCTTAGCTTTTGCCGAACTCTTGTTATCAGTCTTAGCTTTCTTGGCTTTTGGCAGTTGCTCCTCAGCTTTCTTCGACTTCTTTTCTTTGGCAGAAAATTTTTGTGTGCTTTTTTTTGTTTTGCTCAGCTATGTTCTCAACAAGAGACTGTTTATATGGAGAACTAGTGACTATCCTAGACTCCTCAGATCTCTTCGACTTCTTCTTCTCGGTGAGGTGAAGCAGCTTCATAATCATTGAAAAGCTGATGTGGTCGACTGCAGGTGGTTCATCTTGTGTGGATGAAGTATTTCTGGGTTCTGAGGCAGAGGTGGCATTAGTGTTATTTCTTCAGTCGCTGGAAATGACTCTCTGGTTTGTGCTTCTGAAGATGATGCTTCATCATGGCTTGGGCTCTGCTTAGTTGTGTCAGCAAGGGAAGGCAAGGTCTCATCCGATGGTGGATCAACAACACGGGGGTCCTCATGGAAATCAGACGAAGGCAAAATGTCTTTGTTGAATGGGACAATGCCAGTGCATCGGAATCCTTACACAGCATTCTCAATGGTAGCAGCTTTTAAATAGGCAGTATTGAACAGCTCCTCAGGCTTGTCGACAGTAATTCTGCGGCCAGGATGGTTTCGCATCCAGGATGAGCATGCCGCATTGAAAGCACTCTTGAGCGGTTTGAAGAAACTTCGATCCAGTGGTTGGAGCTTATGGGAGGTGTGTGGAGGGAGGAACAGGACGACAACAACATTATCACGAGCATACTCTATGGTGGGGAGAATATTTTTGTGTGTTTTATGACCATCAAGGATCAATAACACTGGGGAATCTTTCGAACACTTTGTAAATGTTACAAAGTGCTTCAAGTAATCCAGAAACAGGTCGGCATCGATCCATCCATTTGGAGAGCAGCGTCCAATAGTCCCCGCAGGAGCACGATCACCAACTCCTGTCTGTTGCGTTTTCTTTTAAAGATCATCATTGGTGGAATGTATGTACCTGATGCACTACAGGCCACTAAAATGGTTGTTGTTTGACCCCGTTCACCGCTAGTAACAGAGGAAACACATCGCTTTCGCTTTGGCGCAATGACTTTCACTGGTTTGTGAACACAGGTCAAACCACTCTCATCACAATTAAAGATTTCATGTGGTTTAAAGTTATGTTTATACAACACAGTTTCCAGGTTAACAAAGTATAAATTGACAGAGGTCTCGTTTAAACCAAAAACCCGATTTACGGACACTGATTCTGGTCTTCAAAGTGACAACTTTGGGTGGCCCTTCATAAAACCCGCAACGAAGTCACGATCAGCCATTTTATTATCCGAATTGAAATTGTTCTTAATATTGTTCTTTTGACAATAGTCATAGACAATGACTCTGATGTCATTTATGGAAAGACATAAAAAGCTTGATCCATCTTGATTATGTGGTCTCCAAGCTCTTTCTCTTGGTCATGGGTGAGAATTGCACGATAACGCCCCAAAATATTTGTTGTTTCTCCTCTGCGGATAAACTTTTCAGCTTACCTTTCACTCGGCGATTTAGTGAATCCTTGGGAACCCAAAGAGAACGGCAGCTTTTCTTATGGACAGCTCTTTGTTTTCTACTGCCCAGATAGCAAGCTTCAATTGCTTCTCTTACCAATTTTCCCGGTCAGTCTTCCGTTTGTACTGTAGTTTCGGACCATTCTAAAAATAATAATAAGTTTATTTAAATTAAGTACCTCGCAACTGATGGTGTCACAGAACTAAGTGAGAAAACCCAACTGATGTGTACCCACAGGTTATTTTTAGATTGACATAAAAATCAATAGTATTTTTTTATTTAATATGAATCGTTTGAGCAATGATGCACATATGTAGGGTAGAATGATGGTACATACAAACATTTACTGCATTAGAACACCACTTTGAGGCATTAATATACATTCTATAATACCCCTATGCTACTTTATATACCATATATATTGATTACAACATTACAAGAGATAGCGATAATGCCCATAAGCAAACAGAAGTGTATATATAGTCTTGTAAGAAAATCGGCCTGTTTCACTTAGCCCCACGGCACTTGGGAGAATTCAAAGGCTCAAAATGATAAAAATTAAGAGCAACATGGGCAAAATAACATGAAAGGCCACATGCTTTTGTATGCAAAACAAATGGAGTATATTTCTTAGCTGCGGTATTTTAGACAGAATAAAAAACTATCTAAATATGCTAAGTAATAAAATACCTCAATTTTGAGACGCCAACTTCAGTGTAATCCAAAAGAATTGATTTTTTTTCGCTCTGAAATAGCTTTGAACCTTCAAACCACGTTGAATAACTTCGAAAAATGCTTGTTTATGAGCCCGTAATGCTTGTGATAAAAAACCTGCGGTAATACGCGGAAAACTAGCATTATTGCATAATCGCCTCATTTAGCCCCACCGTCTCGTTTTGCCCCAACTTACGCATACGAAATTGTGAGCACATTATCGAAAAATATACTATACCTTGAAATGTAATGACTCACGATGCAGCTCGATAGGATTATTTTATATTATGCTAACAATGGAATATCTCAGAGATATAAACTGACCGTCCTACCTTGTACAAGACTCGTAACTGCAGGGGCCAGTTGTATAAAACTTTTAATCACTATTTTGTAGTTAAATAGTGATTAACTCTCAAATAGGCGCTTCTTATTGGATGACGTTTGCACTTAATCATAGTTAACTTTAATCACTTTTTTATACAACCGGCCCCTGGTGATTGAGTTATATATATGTGCACACTGAAATCCACACTGGGTTGTTATAGACAGACTATTTACAGCACGAGCTCCACCTTTGCATTTACTATATGAGTAAATTCTTAAACACGTCCGAATTTATCATTATGATAAATTCGCGGCACATTTTGAATTTATCATAATAATAAATTCGCGGCACCTAACCACTAACACTAATAACCCTAATCCCAAATCTAACCCGTAACCATTGACCCCTAACCCTAATCTAACTTTTTAAACTTTTTTTCCTTTTTAAAACTTTTCTAATATTTTTTTTTGAAAATTTGGAAAATCTCAAATCTTGAAAATCCACTATATATATAACTCGGCCAAACAGTCTGGATACACGTACACGCAATACTTCATGTGAAGAATAGTATGCTGCCTTCGGCAGCAGTACTGTATCAAACAAATAACAATGTACAAAAATATAAAACCTTTTACGAAGGATTTGCTTAGCTTATTCTTTATTGTTATTTTTTAATCTTTTTTGCAGCTGACCAGTTTTGTGAAGATAACAACATTCCAGGTATGATTTCAGTTTTTGAAACTTCTAATATTGACTAATGCAAATCTGTAATAGTTGATGCTTAGCACTTGGCAAAACCGAGCCATGCTATTAATACAGCTTTTCGATAATTACGTCGTTTGGCGTGTGGAGCCTAGCTCTCATGAATCGTGAGCCAATCACCTCGCATAATTTGCAAGTGAGGGCGATGCTCCAAGACCAAAATGTACGTGTGACGTCGCGAAATGTGCATGAATATCGC